TTTTTTATTATATTAACAATATTACAATTTCTATTAATAATAATTGGCGGCCCCCCTGCAATACCGTTGCGGCCCACTAGGGGGCCGCGGCCCACAGGTTGAAAACCACTGCACTATACCCTTATTTTTGCCGTATTTGGTATAAAGCGATACTGAAACATAGGCATTTATTAAAAGAAGGCGTCACGTCGTTCCGCTCTATGAATGACCGTCCTTCCAAACCAGGAAACATTCAGCATATTTGTTTAACTTTTTCTCTACTGTAACAGTAGATGGGTGGAGTTTACTGACACTTCTGATCACTTTCGTCTTGCTTCGCAACAACATGGGCTACAACTTAACTATTAAATGCAGTAATTTTAAATTAGATTTTTATAGCAAGAAATGTGCGAACAATATAGTAGCTTTGGCGAAACGTACACAGCTTTTGAGTCACTAAACCAGTTTATTTAGCGAGTTACTTAATCGTTCATTGTCGAGACAGGTGCGGTATGGAAAAGTTAGGAGCTTTCAGATATATATATGAGGTATACATGTCATTTTTTACCGACTTGTGTTGATTTTTTTTTGCTTAAAAACATTGAAGCGTTGCAGTTCTTTAGCTTTAACGTTTGAAATGTGCGAGAACATTAACAAAGAAAGCCAGGATGCAGAAGAGTGTAACTTCGAGCATGTTACCGGCGTTAATAAGGGTCCCCCCCCGGTCAGCGTCGTGATCGCGACCGCACTGTATGTCGCCGAGCTGGTCACCGCTGCGGTGCTCTGCAAAATGTACAGCGACACCGAAGACCGGTTCTGGATGGGCTTCACCATCACCTTCATGCTGGTGCCGTCTCTTCTCACACAGTTAACACTCACTTTCCTCCATCGAGACTTGGAAAGCGACCGTCCACTGGTCTTGTGTTTGCATCTCCTCCTTTTGGGACCGCTTATCAGGTATGGCGATCTAATTTTTTTTTACTGCTTTAAAAATAGTAGCAAAAGAACGAGAGAATGAAAGTTGAAGTTCGATCACCAGATTCAAATCCTGCTCCACCGGACGTGTTTGGACTTGAACATATGGACATTTCTGCACATGTAAAAACTCAGCCCACTGCCGTGACACCATGAACTAAGGACGTGTTTACACACAAGGCTGTAAGGCAGGGGTGTCCAATCTTATCCGCAAAGGGCCGCTGTGTATGCAGGTTTTCGCTGCAACTCCCTTATTAGATTACTAATCAGAGGACTGATTGGCTGAAGAGTCCTCACACCTGGGTTTGAACAGCTGACCTACAGGTTATTCCAAAAACCTGCATACACACCAGCCCTTTGCGGATAAGATTGCCCACCCCTGCTGTAAGGACTTGCTTATCAAGCACTGGTCTGGAAAATCTCGCAATTACTCACATTTACCAGTTTGTGCTACTAAAGAAATTCACTTGAAGTGCCTCAGGGTATGTCATTCTCTTCATTGACTAATATGGCATTCATTGTTGTACAAATTAAAGCCACTTCAATCACAGATGATGCTTCTTCCACAATTTGCATAAGTACAGGTCCATAGGAATTCTTTAATTTTCACATTTGGTATCTTGCTCTCCTTTGTGACATATGCGTATACAGGTGGGGGTGAATCCTGGAGTGGGGGTGCACAGCCTATAACAGAGGCTATGAGTGCAAGGCAGGGAAAATCCCAGGATGGGGCACCAAACTATCACAGGGCACACTCACACCCCATTCCCTCACACTGACACATGCATATCTATGTGCAACTTGCCAACTCCAACTAACCTCAGTGTGTTTTTGGACAAAAAACCAGAGTATTCAGAAGAAACCCACAATGACACGAGGAGAATATGCAAACTCCACCCACATAGGACCCTAGCAGAGACTCGAACCCTAGTTCGAGATGTGTGAAGCAACAGTGCTAATCACTGTGTCACCCCTTACTGCCATCGTTGGAGCCCTTTTTTCCGGGGTTGGGGGGTTGTGTAAGGGGCATGCTTGAGCAGGGCTGCCAACTTTGTTCAGCTGGCTGGAGTGAGATATTCAACTCGAGATAAGCCTGCACACACATGCACACACATTTACATGCATGTGACAATTTTATTACCTTGCAAATAGACTGTAGGGATTGAAAACTGCTCCAACGCTTTTCATGTGGCTAATTTTAGGTTTACAATGGAATAAGATACATTTGCTGCAAGATTTCTTGCGAGGGCCTGGGAGTTGGCAGTCTTGCTTAAGGGTCGAGAAGTCATGTGACTATTCTGCCAACCACAGGACTCAACCCAGCGAACAGAAGCTGAGCCGACCGACCTTTCCCAGTCACGTACATGACAGGCAGGCAGAGTAACTGCTATACTAACAAGGTTAGCAAAGTACTAGGATGTATTTTTTGCACAGCTGTCTGGCTCTCCTACTGACCTCCTCTTGGCTTAATAGTGACTGGGTTTGCTTTTGAATCTCTCTAAAATGAATGGTAACTACACAATACTATTTTAGCGCTTGTGGAAGACTTTAAAATCAGGTTAATTTATTAGGTGGAATGCTGATAATAAGATTATTCCAATATTAGTATTAAGAATAATAAGATAATTAACAAGATTACAATAAACGGCTAGACTTCAAGGCTGAAACATTAATCAGATAATTTTTTTCTTGTTCATCTGTGTTTCATTATGGCCGCAGCCAAATATGTCACAGGGTGCATATCACTGGACAGTACATGTATATTTGTTAAATATGGTTTATTTTGGGGGGGAGGGGGTTTAAAAGTATTTCTCATTAATGAAGATGCAAATTTTTTTTATTGGTGTTCTATTGGTTTTGCTGATAAATGTAGGAACAGCAAGCAATGTGCATTGTGGAGTTAAGCTAAAAACTAATGCACTTTAAATGCTTCAGTTTGGTTTATAAGCTTTCATGTAATAGTTTATAAACGCCCATGAATTTAACTCATCAACAATCTGTCCATATGAATTGATAATTATTTTTAATCTACTGACAACTCATTTACTCATCAGAGTAGTGGAGCCTAGGGCCTGTAAAACACATTTAAAACAAACCATGAACCTAAGTTCAATAAATATAAGCAAACCCCTTAAAAGGGAAGTGGCACTGAACTTTAAATAGAATGAAAAACATTAGCAAATGAGTGATGCGAAGTGTGAGAGGGAGGTGTATATGTGTTCATGGAGGTGCAGTAGCCCTGTGAAATCTCTGTTTGGCATGAATCCTGCGGATCTTACTGTCCAGCCGTTTGAGCTACGACAGCCAATCCTCAGCTCTTACTGTCCTGCCATTTGAGCTATGACAGCCAATCCTCAGCTCTTACTGTCCTGCCGTTTGAGCTACGACAGCCAATCCTCAGCTCTTACTGTCTTGCCGTTTGAGCTACGACAGCCAATCCTCAGCTCTTACTGTCCTGCCGTTTGAGCTATGGCAGCCAATCCTCAGCTCTTACTGTCCTGCCGTTTGAGCTACGACAGCCAATCCTCAGCTCTTACTGTCTTGCCGTTTGAGCTACGACAGCCAATCCTCAGCTCTTACTGTCCTGCCGTTTGAGCTATGGCAGCCAATCCTCTGCTCTTAGCTGTGGATGTTTAGAGTTCTCCAAGCAGGAGTTTTATGGCGCATGTATATAAACTGCATTTTGTGGCTGTTCTGATTCTGCTCTTAAATAAATGTCACAGAAAAGGCTGCACTGAGCAGACTTGCCCGTGTACAATAGGCATGTTCTATAATGTACTCAGAGAATGACAGATCTACAGTTTGCAGTCGTTAAATGGTGTAGACCTCAGATCTGAGTTCAATGCTCTACTGAGTCATTAGGTTTATCAGCCAAATCAAGTATCAAACCTTCTGTCATGTTGCCTGGAAAAAACATGTAATTTTTTGGTTTGTCATTATACTGTACATACAAAATAAAGTGTTTTCTGCATTTTAGTTCAGATGCAAAGTCAAAAAATGTCCTATGTTTTTGAAACAGGGCAGTGCCTGACTTGAGTTAAAAAATAAACTTGTGATGAATGTAGTGCATTACAGTAATTAAATAAGAAAAGCTGGTGCCTGTCCTGCCTGCATGGGCCTAAATTCATGTCACAAGAGAATTTATTGGCATTAAAGTTATTCTTTTACTTACACCTTGCTTATTTACAAAGCTACTTTTCAGCAGCTAAATGCATTACTAGAGAAATTCAAAAGTACCGTCTTCAGCAGCAGCTCAGCAGGTGATCTGAAGCAGTGAAGTGCTGTTGCATGCTACCTCGGGTCTAAGATCGTAGAATTAAATAATTGTTGATTTTTCAGTGATTGAAGATTCTGCTTTTTTCTTGAAATAGTAACTGAAATGTGAACCGACTTGCTTCTTGATTTTTTTTTTTATTTGAGAAGAACTTGTTTCTTTTTCTTTGGATGGTGATAATTAAAAAACAGGAAAACAACATGAACGCTTATAATTCTTTGAGAAAGACAGTCCAGCCCAAAGTTTCATTCCTTTCCTACCTTGATAACAGTGGTGAAACTACTTATTGACTGAGCTCATTTCAAGGGAAATAATCAGATAGATGATTATGTGATAGTCTCATTCATGGAGGGATTTGTCTTTTTTATTACAGGTGTATTGAGGCCTTAGTGATATACTTCCAGGCGGGCAAAAATGAGGAGCCATATGTCACCATTTCCAGGAAGATCAAGCTGGCAGGAAGACAGACCACGCCCACGGAGAGGGAGATCAGCCAATCAGAGCGCAAGCTGGCTACTTTTCGCAATGCTGCCAAACGCTCTGCCATCATCCAGGCGTTCCTGGGCTCGGCGCCACAGCTGATGCTGCAGCTGTACGCCAGTATCCAGGAGAAGAGCATCCTCCCTGCCCGAGGTGAGGCCTGTCATTACCTGTCACCGTTTACACTTTAGGACTGGAGCCTCAGATGTACGGCCCACAGGTCGTAATCGGATTGATGAAGGTTTTAATCCAGCCCTCAGCTTAATATGATGTTACAACCAGGATACACTTATTTGAACAATCCCACATTAGAATTTTAAAAGTAAAAAATATAAAAATAAACTACTATTATTAGTTTTGCCACTTGGGGGCAGTATATGTCATATTTTTACTTATTTAGCATACATATTTGTCCAAAGTGACATACAAGTGAGTACATTACAAACATTCAAGTCATCAAGGAGTCGACTGGGCTTTAGTGCGGCTCGGCTGAGCTTCCATGTGTGAGTAGGACTGGAGCAGGAGCTACACAACAGCTTCTAACAAAGCAGGAACCTAATGAAACTATTTAGGGACCAGAAGAGCAACATAAGAACATTCAGGGAATGTAAAGAGGCTTCAGGCCAGCCAGCAGAGGAGTGCTGGCTTAAAAATGCAAGACAGATTTTTTTTAATCTCCAGAAGATGTGCTTGTGCAATAGCAACATCATCCACATCATCAGCTGATGGTGAGTTTGTGAGGACATGTAAGGTCACAACTGCAGGAATCACATGTCCTGAGAAAGTTCATGCGTTAGCAGCATAAGAAGGACGAGGAATACAGCTGCAGGGAGAATGTGCATCTCCTGCTTTTATGTGTTTTATTTGTTTGTCACTACTGGTTGAATACATGGCAGCTGTAGGGCTAGCTCACTGTAACGGAAATTGCAAAAAGGGGAAGTTCTCTTTATTTACCGTCACAGTTTGTCACCATATATTGTTAATCGTGCATTATACTGGTAATCACATGTTTTGATCAGCAAAATGAATGTTCTGGTGAGGGTAGCCTGTATCGGAGAAGACACTCCCAGTGTGCATGAGGCATTGCAGTCTGTTTATCCTCAGTCAGTGATTTATGATCAGCCTGTTTCTGTGTTCACGATGTACTTCACTATTGTGATTCCTATATATATCAGGAATAATAAATGTCGTTAGTGTGTCATTAGCTTATTACAGAAATGAGTCTGACTTTGGCAGCACGGTGGTACAGTGATCAGCACTGGCGCCTCACACCTCGGGGACCTGGGCCGCTGCTCCATGCATGTGGAGTCTGCATGTTCTCCCCATGTCGCCATGAAGTTTGTTCCAGCTACTTCGGTTTCCTTCCACAGTAGCACCTGGGATAGGCTACAGACCCCCCACGACCCTGAATAGGATAAATGGCTTCAGAAAATGGATGGATGAGTTTGACACACGTGGTTTAGGGTAACCATGGTGTGAATGAGTAGCGTGGCACAGGCAGCAGACCATGCAGGAGAGGACAGGAAGAAGGAAGTCTTCATGGTGTCGGTTAGCTGGCTACCTCCCTTCAGAGACCTGTGTTTACTGCGCTCTTCTGCCATGCCACCTGTGTGTCTTCACGCTGTCTGTGGGTCATCCTGTGATCACTTGTCCTGTGCTTGTCTCTTCCAGTGTGCCTCATCACCATAAATCTCCTCTCCATCACCTATGGCACCCTAGTCTGCAACGTCTTAGCCATACAGATCAAATACGACGACTATAAAATCCGCCTGCAGCCTTGCGCCTACTTCTGCATGGTGCTGTGGAGAGGGCTGGAGATCGCCACCCGCACCACAGCACTGGTGCTCTTCAGCACGGCACTGACGTACTGGGTGGTGCCCATTGGACTCGGCAACTTGCTCATCTTCTTTGCCCTACCTTGGGTGCTGTTCTGGAAGAAGAGAGCCTCGCTTCCTGACTCACTGGAGAAAAGCCTCAGCAAGTTTGGCACCATAGTTGCACTCTGCCTGATTACGTTCCTCTACGCTTGCATCAACACTTTCTGCTACTCGGCAATCCAGCTGGACCTGGCCCATCGGGACCTGATTGAAAAGAGCATGAGCTGGGTCCAGATCGCCATGTATTACAGCCTCCGTTTTGCGGAGAACACCTTCCTGGTTGTCATGTGGTATTTTTTCAAGACGGACTTCTACGAGTACATCTGTGCACCAATGCTTGTGATCCAGCTGGTGGTTTGCTACGTCTTGGCTGTGACTTTCATGATGGTCTTCTACCAGTACTGTCATCCCTGTCGCCACCTATTCAGTCACAACGTGGCTGACTGCCTTCGCTGTGCCTGCTGTCACAGAGAGACCGGGCCAGCAGTGCCCGTTGACGTCATCGTTTCTGATCACATGACAGAGGATGACAGACCATGCCTGTTAACTGTGAAACAGTAATCCTGCCTGCTGTCACAGAGAGACCGGGCCAGCAGTGCCCGTTGACGTCATCGTTTCTGATCACATGACGGAGGATGACAGACCATGCCTGTNTAATCCTGCCTGCTGTCACAGAGAGACCGGGCCAGCAGTGCCCGTTGACGTCATCGTTTCTGATCACATGACGGAGGATGACAGACCATGCCTGTTAACTGTGAGACAGTAATCCTGCCTGCTGTCAGAGAGAGACCAGGCCAGCAGTGCCCGTTGACGTCATCGTTTCTGATCACATGACAGAGGATGACAGACCATGCCTGTTAACTGTGAGACCATAATCCTGTTTGCTGTCAGAGAGAGACCGGGCCAGCAGTGCCCGTTGACGTCATCGTTTCTGATCACATGACAGAGGATGACAGGCCATGCCTGTTAACTGTGAGACAGTAATCCTGCCTGCTGTCACAGAGAGACCGGGCCAGCAGTGCCCGTTGACGTCATCGTTTCTAATCACATGACAGAGGATGACAGACCATGCCTGTTAACTGTGAGACCATAATCCTGGTTGGGGACCGCTGCTATACCAAGGCGCGCTCGACTGTTGCCATTCCTCAGCTGCAATCTGCAAAGTTTCTTGTTTAATTCCTTATCAATGTTTATAGACAGCAACGGTTTTCAATGTAATGTTGCAAAAATGCACTATGTAAATAAAACTGAATATACTAATTAAGTGACTTTTCGTGGTACATAATAGCTTTGTAAAAACACACTTTATTCAGTCTAGCCTATAGGGACTCTAGTCCTAGATCGAGCTAACTGCTCATCCCCAGTTAGATCTGCAGTGTGAGGTGTAGAGCTGGGTGGGCATTGGTGCCATTGGCTTTGGATGGACTGAAATGTCAGTGCTGTCACTCTAGCTTCACACCCCCTTGTGGAATTGGAGTGCTGACGTTTCAGGGACTCCCCATGCCTGCCTTCCCACCTGCCTCTCCCTCCTACTTATGCTGCCATAGCCATATCTCAGTGCTAACCTAACTGTTAGCACTGCCCATAGTCTCCCCTACTTTGACTAATTGCATATTTTTTCCCCCTACCCCTCCTGGGTTTTGCCGTCTGGAGACCCCAAATTATCACGATATCCTGCACACCCTGCTACATGCGACGTCTCCACTACCCATGACGTCCTTCCGTCCAGCTCGCCGTTCTGCCTGTCGTCCTTCATGTATGCCCGGCTGCCTTACTACTGGTTGCCTGGCGATCAGAAGGAGTGCCAACACCGACTTGTCATCACCTCCCTGCTCCCTTGGTTGCTACCAAAAGGAGCTTCCACCAGATATGAAATCCTTTGATTCACTTTGTCCAGCCTACACTGCACTTTTGAATGATGTATTCTGTATGTACAAGACCAATACAATAATTTGTGTTATTAGTTAGAACCAATTTGTTCATTAACATAACTTAAAGATCAGATCATATCTCTTCCAATGTCAAGCACAGACAACATAAAATATGATGGAAATAAGAACAATACTCATTCATCCAACAATGTACTAGATACTGCTTAATAATTCAAAAAGGGAATAATAAAGTTAAAGAAGCTTTTTGATATGAAATGATAGCGCCTGCTATGCTAGGACTGAAGGATGTGTATGTACAGCAATACGTACAAAGGTGGATCAGATTTTTTTAAATTAGTATTTAGCTCAATTTTACATTAATTTTTTATTTATATTGATCCTGCAGTTGATCTTTCTTTACACATGACCTAAGATGAGAAAATGTAGTGGAACACTTATTTAAGCAACCCAGAATAAATTCTGATAACTAAAAAATGCAGTGATAGCTGCAAGTTCTATGAGTGTACAAGTTCCAGCAGTGTTATGTCCCTTGGAATGCTGAGTGTCCGACCAGTCACTAAATCCATTTCTTCACTTACTTTTTCCAGCCTGTACTGTGTTTTTAAATGATGTTTTCAATATGAGAATAACACATAGATGAAGATCAGATCACATTTTATGACCAATTAATTCAGTCAACCAGGTAATGACAAAGGGCTCACATACTATTTGTTGCAACTGTACCTAGATATCAATATCAATGACAGAATTGTTCCCGCTGACTAAGGGACATTAGACAATTGATTGAAATCCTGGAAAAGAAAACAGCACAGTCAGGTGAATTCAGTAAATTCTACATCTGGGGTTTTCTAAACTTTAGGCTGAATACTTTGGTCATGGATATTACAGAAGGGGAAATCTGGAGGTTGTAGTGAAGACGTGTGTTACGATCCTATTTTCTTGTGCCATAGGAAAACAAAATAAAAAAAAACTTCATTCAATCTTGGTTAATTACATGGCAAAGGCAAAAACTGAAATGTGTACAAATCCGCCCCCCCCCCCCAAAAAAAAGACAGACAACGTTCCACAATTGTGCTGAATTTCAACAAGTGAGGTCATAGCTCTATGCCAGTAAATATCAAATGTGGGCCCAGTATGTTTGAACAGTCTTTACCAGAAACAATCACTGAACAAACTCTTTTTGTCCCATGATAAAAAAAAAAACTGACCATCAACAGAACACACCTTGTGATTATGCAAAATAATTAAGTAATTAATAATTAACTTAATAAAAGTGATAAAGGACAGATATTCTCATTTATCAGAGAGGTATTTCTTTCTCTTTCTTTTTTACAGATGTATTTAAGCCTTGGTGATTTTATTAATCATGTAAATGATTTTTATTCCCACACCTTTTAGTGAAATACTTCCAGGCAGAAGTGAGCTAAAAATGTCACCAGGGTGATCACTAATTTTCTCGATTTTGTCTAGATTTTAACCCCCTTGTCCTCCCTTTACCCCACCCCTGCTCCTTTTATATTCCTTGTCCTCCTTTTAACCCCCTTGTCCTCCCTTTACCCCACCCCTGCTCCTTTTATATTCCTTGTCCTCCTTTTAACTCCCTTGTCCTCCCTTTACACCAGTTGTGCTCCTTTTATATTCCTTGTCCTCCTTTTAACCCCCTTGTCCTCCCTTTACACCAGCTGTGCTCCTTTTATATTCCTTGTCCTCCTTTTAACTCCCTTGTCCTCTTTGTATCCTTCTTGTCCTCCTTTTATCTCCTTTCTCCTCCTTTTAACTCCCTTGTCTTCTTCATGGCCCCCTTCTCCTCCTTTTGTTTCCCTTCTTTTTTTCCACTTATGCGTCCTTTAGTCTCCATGTTCTGCTTTGAACACAGGTGTGCTCCATTTTAGAGCCGTTTCATGCAGGTGGTCACCCTATACCTCACCATGTCCAGGAAGATCAAGCTGACAGGAAGACAGACCACGCCCACGGGGAGGGAGATCAGCCAATCAGAGAGCAAGCTGGCTACTTTTCGCAATGCTGCCAAACGCTCTGCCATCATCCAGGCGTTCCTGGGCTCGGCGCCACAGCTGATGCTGCAGCTGTACGCCAGTATCCAGGAGAAGAGCATCCTCCCTGCCCGAGGTGAGGCCTGTCATTACCTGTCACCGTTTACACTTTAGGACTGGAGCCTCAGATGTACGGCCCACAGGTCGTAATCGGATTGATGAAGGTTTTAATCCAACCCTCAGCTCAATATGATGTTACAACACGGATACACTTATTTGAACAATCCCACATTAGAATTTTAAAAGTAAAAGAAAAGTGCTAGATACTTTAGATTGGGTGACTTTTGCTGGGTACACATGCCCTGCAAGCCTATGTCCCTGAGCCATAGAGTGTCTGAGGCCACAGATATGTGGGCTTTGGTTCATGCGGCCACCTGCCTGTCATGTCATCAGGCACCATGAAGTACCGTGAATGACAATGTTCCAGTATTCCTGGAAATAGATATATCAGAGCAAAAGTCCTTTATGAGTGATTGACTGAATCCATGAGACAGTCACCAGAGCTACAGCCGTGTAGGAAATTCCCTGATTCGCTGCACTGAAATGAGAATTTAATATCTTCTTCCTCATGTCTGTCATCTTATCCTTGTTTAAATACATTGTAAAAATAGAAATACATGGTAGGTTCTTGCAAGAGGAAACATGCCAGAATTTCCTGGATGTTGCAATTTGTCATGGTACATTCCTGCAAGGTGGCCTGGAGGCAGGGAATGCATAACTACGGCTCAAAAGTGAGGCACGGTTTGCATAACTACGGCTCAAAAGTGAGGCGGGGTTTGCATAACTACGGCTCATAAGTGAGGCTCTTAAGTGACACCTCCATCCCGTCTGTCAGCCACTGGTGTCTGCATCAGCCCACAAACATGGGCAACTGGATCATCAACCACGGACTGTCCGCTTTCATACTCGTAAGGCAGTGTTTATTTATTCAGAAAATGTTATATATGACAGTAATATGTGTAAGAGGCAAGTAAGTCACAAATGACCAAATAGCTGATCTTATTAGTCTGTTAAAAATATAGTCATATTTGTGTCTTTGTGTCCAACAGACTGTATGGATGGGGATCAATATATTCCTGTTTGTGTACTATTACCAATTATATAACACTCAGGAGTCATTTTTCTATACACGCCATATTCTATCGGTGAGTGCTACCGAAAGGATTAATAGCAGATTAATAATAGTTACTGTACAAACGGCGATTCTTCATTCCGACGTGATTACCTTGCCTGTTTCAGTCGGCGCTCCCCTGGGCGCGCGCTCCCGCCGCCGTCCTCAACTTCAACTGCATGCTGATCCTGCTACCTGTGTGCCGCAACCTGCTGTCTCTCATTCGGGGGTCGTTCATGGTGAGTCGCGGCGTGACGTCACTCTGACACATGCCTTTGTCCAAACTTTTGCACAGTCCTGCTCTTCCACGGTTTACGTCGTATTTAACTCTACAGAATGTAAATGGTTAGTAGGTGTTCTGACTGTAGTTCTCTGTCCAAAGGAATTGGACAGATAGATTCGGCTTGTGAGGAACGGCAAACTAAGACAGTGCTAAATAATCAATGCCTCGAAAATACAAGATGCTTGTTAGAAATTGTTATACTACAGTCAATAAATAATATGACAAAATATCACTTTAATGTTTAATAACAGGAAAAGAAAGTTGTAACCATCATTTCTTATCTGATTTATAGTGAGTCATATAATTAAATTTCTTTGAGTCTTTTAATCAGATATCAAAGTACAATCAGGAAAAGTATTTAACATATTTCTTGTTATTCCTGTTTTTTGTTGTCGTATTTCAGTAATTAATAAAGCTGGGCGCTATTTTACTTTAGGTAGAGTGATATGTACTGCATACGTCATGAGCCCTTGTCCGTAATCATAAAAATAAAAGCTTTTTTGAACATTGTAATTGAGTTTTATTATTTTTTTCTTCAGTGTTGCGGAAGATCTCTAAGAAAACCGCTGGACAAAAATATAACGTTCCATAAGTGTGTGGCGTACATGATCGCATTAATGACAGGTATAAATTTCCTGAAATGTCACAAAGGTACACATTTCCCACTGTATGAGAGGTACCACCAGGTTTTCAATGCCTTAAGAAAGAAAATAAGCAAAACCTTAACAAATAAATATTTATTTATCTCTCTCTGGACCTTAACTCGAACACTATGTCAAAGTTTTAGAGATTTTCCCACCATCTCAAATTGAAGCTATTCATACAAAACATATACAGGATTTTCTTTTTGATTTCCAAATGAACACTGATTTACTTACGTACAATATTTCAATCACAATAGCATTATTATATGTTACATAATA